CATGGTATTTCTATTTTAAATATTTTGAGGCGTGCCGTACTGTTTCCCGCAGGGGCGGGCGGGGTTCCATTACAACACACTGCGCCGAGGGCCCCTTTTCTCCACACGCGGCGCCTGGGGGCTCTGGGGGAGCTGGGCGGTCCTCACAGGCGCCAGGGCGGCGACCCCCTGGTACTATGGACGATGGGCGTCTCTCCAGGTGCGCCTTCTTGGGAGCAGTGTCTGGTGGGGCTCCTGCCCATTTACAAAAGTTGCGCGGTGTGGGGTTTGTTATTGTTGAGGTGTGTGCGCTCTTTATATGTTTGGGCCACAGCCCTCAGCGGTGCGAGCTGAAGGTCCCCCATTGCTTCGGGCGTTTTCCCTGTGGGGGATGTTTCTTTGGCTGTGCAGAGGCATATCTGCTCGATGTCAGTCCTGCTTGCTTATTTAGTGTTTATTTGCTTTTGTTTCTCCCGCTGTTGGTGACTCTCCGTGGACTAGAAAGAAGCAAAGCACAAAAGGTAAACCAAGTCAAACGCTTGGATTCAGAAGACAGAGAGGCGATTGCCAGAGAGGGGAGGGTGGGGGTGGGTGGAAAGGCTGAAGGGGATCTGGGTGACATGCGTGTGCCGTCTGCGTGCTGCAGCCCTGGGGGCTCTTGTGCTCAAGCCCGCCTGGCACCAGGGGAGGGCTTGCACGCGTGAGCGGGGAGCCGGGCTGCGGGGGTGGCATACCCCGTGGCCTCTGTGGCCTCTGGCATCGGGGAGCTGGCCACAGTCCTTTTCCTCTGGTGTCTGCCTTATTTCACTGAGCAAGATGGCCTCCAAGCTCATCTGTGGGGTCGCATGCACGTTCCTTTTCCCCTTCTCAAGGTCAACTGACCTTTCAGGTAAAACACAATTCCTGTTGGTACGTGAAGTCCTTGGGCCATTTCAGAAGGTCTCCAATTCCTACGTGCATTGCACTACTTGCAGTGATTTGGGAAAAGTCCTCTCCTTTTCCCTCACACATCTTGAGCTGTGAGCCCCATGTAGATGCGTCTGCAACTGTTTGTGTTCCTGCTTCTGGTTTCGACCACAGGATGTCTACATCGGTCCTGCTTACAGGATGTTTGTGTGAAGTCATGGGTCTCTCTCAGCTTGCTTGTTGATGGGCCCGTTTGACATTCTATTTGGCTATTTTATTTCACCTCTTTCATTTGTTTCAGGAGAAAAGTAGGACTTGATGTGATAGGGCTTGGGGTCCAGAGGATAAATCTGGGCTCTCACTAAGGGCATTAGTTGATTCTTGCATGTCGATTTGCTAAATGATTGTTTGCCAATTACACTTTTTTTTTTTAACCAAAACTTATCTTAAGGAATATCCTTCTTGAGCGTATTATATGAATAGAGTACATACATTATACTTCTTAGTGGTGACTACTTACTCCTTTTCTATGACTCCCGTCATGTGGTCTTTTTCCTTCTCTTTCTACATCAAGCTTCATTTCCAGGATTCACTTCCTTACAGTATTGAATTTTTCTGTATTCCTTTGGGTAGATTTTACCATTTTGGTTTAATTTATTCCTTCCTTCTGCTCCCTTGAAGCAGATCTATCCATGCCTGGCTCCCTTTTATTGTAATTTGCCTCTGGGCAGCTTTTCCTTGACACAGTTGTCATTTCCCTCTCCACATAACACCACACTCCCCCCAGCCCATGTCACCCCCACCTTTTAAAGGGAAACTATGCACATCTGAAATACCATTCCTGACAGCAGTTTACAACGCTTCTTGACCTAGAGCTGTACCTATAGCTTGGCTTGAGCAGTCTCGTAATTAGCAAAAAACAGGCTCCGAAATGGAAAATCAACTTGATTATTTCAAACTTCATTCAATCCCTAAAAGCATTTGCCACAAAATGATGACGAGGTACACTCCAGTGGTATCAGCCTTCTTTTCCTTTTTTACTACTATCGTACTGCAGCTCAGCTGTAATTCACTGTCTGGGGGTGATGTTTTAAAAATATTAGCTATTTCATCTGCCTTCCTTCCTTCACCATGTTTCTTTGAGGTACTTTATTCCTCCATGCTATTTCAGAAAGTTAAATGGCTACAGTCTCATTGCTGGGGGTAGGCATAGGGAGACGAGGTCTGTAGGGAGACGGAGTGAGGAACGGAAGAAATGCACTCTGCTCATTGCACAGCCTGGGCCCTTCCAAGAGAGGAAAGAATTATTAGAATCGTAAAACATTTGGGAGAAAGCCTAAATTAGAGCAATAGACCCTCTTT